AATTATCTTCACTGCTGACTTCTTAAAAATATCAACTTTTGTGTCTGGGACAATATTGTTTTAAAAAACAAGAAACAACAAAATTCCAAAAACAAACAAACAACTGAGTAATTTATTTTAGCCAGTTATTTTAAACTTACCACAAATACCAACTTTCCAACATTTGTCCAGGGGAAGTCATAAAGTAATTGTTTCTCTTCATCTAAATTCTGTGGGAAGAATTATAATGCATACAGAGTTACTGATGAAACGGACAGACACTAAAATGGCTCTAATTTATCTCCCAGAAAACTAAAATACATTAATTAAAATCCGAAAGAGGCCCTCAGCTCTCTTTGGAGATGTGCAGACAGTAATTAAAAGAGTAGTGATATGATTCAGTAGTTTCCGGTTCCCGAGTGACTGCATCATTAACTGCCCTTTCCAGGCAATCTTTCCTCTTTTGGCCTATCCCTAAAATTTAAATAAAAAGTCCGAAAGACTTGGGCATTCAGGAGATGAGACAAGGTACTCAGACTTTCATCCTTGGATATTTTGCCCACATCAAAGAAAAGATATCCTGATACTCTCCTAGCTCTCCCAGAAAGAGGCTTTTTCTCCCCCTTGTCAATGGCTGTAGCACCATCCCACCTACTTACGCAAGGGACAAGCTTTATCAGAAAAGTGTAACGGAAATTAAAACATCTGCTCAGGCACTGTATGCATAGGTCATCTTTAGAATTATAAATGCTCCAGAGGACAAAAATATACAAGAGTATATTTAACGTCAATGACACACACAGAAAAAGTGGTGAACGTGGGCCAATTTTTGGCTTTTTGTTTTCTGTTCTAGAAGACTTGTTACTACATGGTTTAGACTGGATCCCTTGGTCTATCCCACATCGTCCGCATCTGTGCACACAAACAGGAAGCAATGACCAATCCGTGGCCACAAAAGGACCGGTGAACCTATCACAGGACCACAGAGGGACACTGTCCCTGGGAGACAAAGCAGTGCCTACTGGACACTTAGTTCTCTCATTTACTCACCTGGAAAATCTGTATTCCCCGCATGGTCAGCCCGAGGGTCAGAGAAGCTTCAATTTCCCTTTTATCCTGGAGGAATAACATTTTATGAAGATGTCTATGTTAGAACCTTGAATATAAAGTCATAATTAAATTCTGAGATGCACCAGATTTTATATGTTAAAAACTGGGTAAATCTCCCAGCTCAGAAGCTAAGATTTCAGGCAAGCCTAAATATTTAAGGGTCTCTCATGAGGACAAATAATAAAGCTGAAAAAGTTTTATATCGGTTGGTTTTTTTAAAAAAGTACTTATTTTTTAAATGCTCAATTATTACTTACCAAAATGGTATACATTCTACCAGCTAACCCATAAACTATAAACAATAAAGTATAACTACATAAGGGAAAAAATTCTCCAATTAAGAATGTACTCAGGTAGAAAGAGATCAGTCAAAGAACTTATATGCATTTATGCATAACCCATGGACACAGACAAATGTGTGGTGAAGGCCTGGGGTGGGGGTGGGCTAGAACGGGTCAACGGGAAAAAAGGGGGACATGTGATACTTGCAACAATAAACACTTAAAAAAAAAAGAATACTTAGAACTTTGGCCACATCTTTTTAGGTGCTCATCTGTAAAAGTGTTTATAAAATATAAAGTATAAAATAAAAGAGACATAATATTATTAAGTAACTAAACTATTCTCACTATAAGATTTCTCAGTACAAACAATAAATATGTACAGATCTTTATTATAGTGCCATTTCCCCCAGGAACATGGTTAAGAAGTATTTTTTGAAAATGCATCCTCACCAGGCACAGAAAAGAGAAGACATAGCCTATTTTTACTCTTTGGGTTGTTTTTTTTCCAACCAACATATTTTTACATCACGAAAGGCATATATAGTAAGAGAAACCAATCTATCACTATGAGTTTAGGCCCAATTTCCCTTTCAAGGCCGTTCTGATTGTTTCCTGAAGTAAGACTGTGCTCATAAAAACGCGGGCTGTGCATGTATGAGGTGTGCAGTACTGGAAAGGGAGCACAGAATTTGTTTTTTTTTCTTTTTCAGGACGTTTCCTATCCTCCATCTACCTTATTTCCATTTTGTAACCAGGCCTTAAATGAAGCAGTTTTAGTGGCTGCCACTTGACTTCTCCAAAGAATAAAAATTCTGCCCACGAGGCAATAATGTTATTTCCCACTTCATTCAGTTACATTAACTATGATTAATTATCTCATTTTAGGCAGACTAGAGTCATTTTCCATGCCATGTAGAAGTACTGCACTTTAAGTAAGTTTGAAAGATTTTTACACAAGATAAATTGAGGATATCCACTTCACTAAATGATTCTTAATAGGATTTTAAAAATTGATTTTTAGAAAAAGAGAGAGCGAAAGAGAGAGAGCGAGGGGGGGTGTGGTGGGGGGGGGAGGGGAGAGAAACATCTATTTGTTCCACTTATTTATGCATTCATTGGCTGATTCTTTTATGTGCCCTAATCAGGGATCGAACCTATAACCTTAGGGGATGCTGCTCTAAGTAAATGAGCTACCTGGCCAGGGCCAATAGAATTTTTTTAAATACTAAATTTCCTTATCAAATAAGAATCACTAATGTACTAGACACTTCACCTGGTTATTTCAGATTCATTATCTCATAGAATTTTCCCCAACGTTGGAAATGTATGGAATCATTCCCACTTAATAGATGGCCCAGGATTACTTATATTTACTTAGGATCCAGTAATTATCAGTGGTAATATAGGGTTTTTAAGTGACTAGAGGCCGGGTGCATGAATTTGTGCAGGGGTGGGGTCTGGCCAGCCCACCCCGATAGGCCAGGCCGGCTGGGGGGAGGGGACATGGGAGGTTGGCAGGCCGGCCCCACCCTGGATTAGGGGGAGGGGGAGGGGCGATCGGGGACGGGGCCTGGGGGAGGAGCTGCGGGCAGTTGGTCGAACTCCTGGTCAAGGGAACAATTTGCATATTAGCCTTTTATTATATAGGATATCTGATTCCAAAGCCGCAGTCTTTTCAATACATTGTTAATACTTCTCATACATTTTAAAATTATAAGCTGATTGTCAAAAATGTCATTTATTTGCATTTTCTCCTATAAATTGTCACAAATAAAATTTAAGGAAAAAAACAAACAGACAGCTAAGTCCTTTGGGAATTTAGCCAAAAAGATATTATGGAACTCAATTATGCCTTTCAAAGATGACAGGGCATTAACAGTGCACCTCTTAAACATGGAAGAGAGAAGAAACACCATCCTTTGGTCCCTTTCTAAGTTTTCTGAACCAGGCAATATGCTCACCAGCAGTATATCCAATGGTCTAGGGGTGCGAGACCATTGGGTAGGGAGTGATACCAAAGGCTATGGAGTGATACCAAGCATAGTAACAGTGATAAAGGTAACAACTGCTTGAAGCACCTTTTATCCATTGTCCTTTACCTATTCAATGAACCTCAGAGGTAGGTCATGACCATCCCCATCTAACGATGGGAAACTGAAGCAGAGAGGTTAAGTAGTAACTGGTCTAAGGTCACATGGTAAGAGGTGAAGCTAGGAGTCAATCCCACAAGTTAGGCTCAATAGACCACTCTCTGAACCACTTCATCCTATTCGGTTGGAGAATATACCTCTGGATACATAAGTGGGGATTCAGGAGTGAAATATGGCCACGAGTCGGGAGGAGAAGGAGGGGGAGAGAAGACAGGATCCCATAAATGTAGTGTGAGGGAGTCCCTGCAGAGCTTGGCCCCAATTGTTATTTGGGTGTGTGGCCTCTGACCTCTGAAACAATGAGGCTAGGGACACACAGGACACAGAAGGGAGTGACACACATCAGAGAGTTCGGTGGAGAAAGGACACAGGCTCTGATTAGGCCTGGGTTGGATCCTGGCCTTGCCACTTACTGGTGTGGTGGCCTTTAGTCTGTTTCCTCGTCTGTAAAATGAAGATCACAGTTCCTGTCTTACAGAATGGTGAGGATTTTTTTTAAAGGATAAATATAAAGGGTGCCCCATAAACACAGGACTCAATAAGCACTCGCTGTCGTTGTGATGCTCTAGTTCAGTGATGGTGAACCTATGACACGCGTGTCAGAGGTGACACGCGAACTCATTTTTTTGGTTGATTTTTCTTTGTTAAATGGCATTTAAATATATAAAATAAATATCAAAAATATAAATCTTTGTTTTACTATGGTTGCAAATATCAAAAAATTTCTGTATGTGACACGGCACCAGAGTTAAGTTCGGGTTTTTCAAAATGCTGACACACCAAGCTCAAAAGGTTCGCCATCACTGTTCTAGTTACTAATGGATCCGATGCTGTGTGACTTCACTTTGGGGAATATTAAAAACGAATGATCGAAGAAGTTGCCAGTGTCACTCCCCGAGACAGAAATGCAGACTTGGAGAGGAGAAAAACAACTATGGTATTTCTGTTCACGGAAAAGCCAGATTCACAATATGCAGCCTCGTGTTATCACAGCGTTAGAACCAGGAGAGCCTGCACCCTGCTCCCGGGCCGAGAAAAAGCATCACCCGCTCCGAGATGACCTGCGGTGACAGACAGCAGGTCACGTGAAACTCTCTTAAAAGCCCTTTAAAAAGTGAAATGAGAGGTTAAATCTACGCCCCTTGTGATGGAGAAGGAGTTTTTTCTCGGAAGCTGCAGGCGCGCGGCCGGCTGTACCTTATACAATCTGTAGTAGTGGACGGCGACGTCGTCCAGCCGGACGGCCTCTTTGATGTATTTAAGGTGAGCCTCGGAAGCGGTCAGTGCAAACTGATCTTTGTGCATGTTTGGAATGTGCTTCAGGATGTAGTCCTTCCCTCTCTTGGCAACAACCTGTTGGAATACACAGGCATGAAATGCAACATTTGTCGGGGGGTGTACACACCCTCACCCGTAAGTGACAGAAGGACAAGGACCTAAACAAACCATATAAACGGGCTAACATCCACTAGAACATTCCCACGTTCACTCTGTCTTCACCATCAGTTATAGTACGAGGCTGAATCAGCTAATACTCAAAGTGACAAAGTCAACTTAGCTGCAGTATTGAATATCTAAGAAGAAAAATCACAAGAAATGGGAAAAGTATGTTCTCTTGGCTTTAAACTCACCAGGAACAAAAAAAAAACAAAAAAAACAAAAAAAAATCAAACCAAAGACAAAACCATGCAAACTTGCACAATTTTGTACACATCACTCCTTATACTTGCAAAATTACTGGTACCATGAAATACATCTCCTGTCAGCACATCTTCAGGTTCTGGATCCTACTTAACTCTTCCAAAATCATAGCCACAGCGTGGGAGACTCTAAATGTTAATCCAAAAAAAGGCAGGGGACTGCGAGAAATTCTCTGAAATGTGTGGTTTTTGCATAAGAAGCTGATATGAACAGTCTATTGGATACTTATGAGGAAACAATTTATTTCATACATTCACTGTAATTGACTGTGGCTTATATTTTCATCAGACAGTAGCCTGAGCTTTGAGATGTCAAAAGTACTCAGTATCCAGCAGCTGCAGGCTCAGAGAAAGGTGTCTTAGTTAAAGGTCCTACCTGATTTCATAAGGACTATCAGATATGGAATTACACAAAGTAAACTAGAGTGATGTTTAAAATCATCAGAATAAAAAAATTAGAGAATTTTTAGTTTTAAAATGTTTTATAGATACTGACATTTTTTGTTTCTTTCTATTGAATTAAGCATGATAAATTACTGGCCAATTTTCAAGTTTTACTGAGAACTCAAATTACAGATTTTTCTCTCTAGATGCCTTTTACATGAAGGTCATCTATATCAGTATTTGTTAACTGTGTTCAGGTCAGAGAACACATAGAAAATAGTACTTGTAAGGGTACTGAAGCAGTGACTTTGGTGGCCCCAAGGGTTGAGGACACTGGTACCCGGGCACTCCGGACGCCACGGCACATGGATGGGAAGCTCTGATGTAAATGACCAAGGCTCAGTGAGCACCTGATGACAACTAGGGAATGTAAAAGCAGGCTAATTTTGGCCCAACAGACATTGCTATGTAAAAGCTTGACACCTTTTGTGGTTTCTCCTCCAACAACTGAAGCACTGTCAATCAACTGTCAGTCGGTCAACAAAAACTTATATTGAACACCTTAATGTGAAGTGCCGAGGAAACAGAAAAGGGTAAATTTATGTCTGTCCTTTAGGACATACCAAGAAACACTAAGGTTACTGGGGTTGGGCCCAAAAGATAAAGAGTTATTTGAAAATAAGATGTAAAACACACCCATCCAGGGTCTTGCTGAGCACAGAGGAGGAGTGCTGGCACCTGGTCCGTCTGCCTGGAGGAAGCGACCCCTGAGCAGTGCTGGAAGGAGTTGGGTGAAGCGGGGGGAGGGGCTGCACAGGCTAAAAGAATTGGAGGGAGAAAGGCCAGAGTGGGAGCCACCACAGGTGTGGAGACACAGGGATTACTGGACAATGTTACCGCATAAAATTCAAGGTGAGGACAGTCAGAAAGGAATCTGGAAAGGGGGGGGGGGGCAGGGGCCACGTCCTGCAAAGCTCCTCAGGCATGCTTGGGAGCGGGCTTCACGCTGCAGGTGACAGGGGAGCCCTGGGGGCTTCCATCCGAAGCCAAAGCAAACCTCCACAGCAGGGCTGTTGAGTGCTCGCAAGAGCTGGAAGCTGGGAGGCGGAGGAACAATGGTGGGGAGGGGACGCAATAGATAGACATGTAGGAAGTGAACAAAAATACAAGAGAATTTTAGTTCTTACGCTGGGTGATGGGGTATCGGCTGTTTAGGGAAGAGGACGTTCTGGTTGACTGGGTGGGACGGGGAGAAGGATGGGTGGTCAGGGAGGGAGTGCTGTGTGACCCCCAAGTTTCTGGGTGATGGGGTGGACGGCAGTGCCGCCAGCCGAGATTAGGAACATGGAGGCAGGAATAACCGAACTGAGGTGGCGGGAAGAAGATGAGTTTGACTCAGCACATTCTGAATTTGAGATGCCTCCGGGTGAACAGCTATCTCACGGACTCAGGGGAGAGGTGGTTGTTAAAAGCATTCAGTTGGATGAAATCTCCCGTGATCGGGAGGGGTGACGTGTCAAGGGCAGCGGAGAAATTCTGGGAGTGAAAGTGTTCACTGGATTTGGCCACTTAAAGGTCACTGGTGACCTGAGGGACAGCCCATGAGTGGAGCAGTGGGGAGAGCAGGCAGATGGAGGTGGGTGGAGGAGTACACGTGGGAAGCAAAGAAGCTAGAAAATCAAATAGACATCGCTTTTTCAAGAAGCGTTACTGAGAAGGGAAGGCAGGAGAGGCAGCATTTCTTTCCCTTCCTTCCTCCTGAGGATGGGGGTGCAAACCAAGCCTGTTGTGTATGTTCTGACTGAAGAGCGGAGGGTAAAGGTAAGAGAAAGAAGTTACAGCAGAGACCTGGAGGAAGGATGGGGGCAGAACAGACGGGCTGGGGTAGAGAAAGTACAGTTGAATAGTTCATGCTGGAATAACCTAAATTTCCTCCACTGAAGTAAGGAGATGGTGGTCAGAGCAAGGAGTTTACTTACACACAGGGACAAGGGGCCTCTGACTTACATGATGGCTCGACTTACGATTTCTTGACTATGGTGTGAAAGCAATATGCTTTCAGCAGAGACTGAACTTCGAATTTGGAATGATATCCCCCCCCAGCTAGTGATCTGCAGTTCAGTCTTCTCTCGTGATGCTGGACAGTGGTGGTGAGCCACAGGGTCACAGGGGCAAACAAAGGACACTCTGTGTCCACTGTGTCACCAGCATTTTATCTTTTTTCTTTAGTTCAAGGCTTCAAGCACGCTCCAGGCTGTGTTCAGGCTTCTAGCTGTGCTCACTAACGCTGGGGACCCAAGCAACCATTCTGTTTTCCACTTTCAGTATAGTAGTCAAAAAATCATGATAT